CTTCCCACCAGCGGTATATGAGGGTTCCCTTTCCTCCACAACCTCTCCAACATGTGTTATTTTTTGTCTTGGTGATTACAGCCATTCTAACAGTTGTAAGGTCATATTTTAGAGTTGTTTTCATTTGCATGTCCCTGATGATTAGTGATGTTGAGCATCTTTTCATGTGCCTATTGGCTATCTGTATATGTTTTTTTTTTTTTGAGGAAGATTAGCCCTGAGCTAACTACTGCCAGTCCTCCTCTTTTTTGCTGAGGAAGCCTGGCCCTGAGCTAACATGCGTGCCCATCTTCCTCTACTTTGTATGTGGGACGCCTACCACAGCATGGTTTGCCAAGCAGTGCCATGTCCACACCTGGGATCCGAACCGGCGAACCCCAGGCCGCTGAGAAGCGGAACGTGTGAACTTAACTGCTGCGTCACCGGGCCGGCTCCATCTGTACATCTTTGGAAAAATGTCTCTTCATATCCTCTGCCCAGTTTTTGATCAACCTGGTTGTCTGTTTTTTTTTTTGTTGTTGAGTTGTGTGAGTTCTTTATATATTTTGGAGATTAACTGCTGGTTGGATATATGATTTGCAAATATCTTCTCCCACTTGGTGGGTTGTCTTTTTGTTTTATTCCTGGTTTCCTTTTCCTTGCATAAGCTCTGTAGTCTGAGGAAGTTCCGCGTGTTTATTTTTCCTTTTGTTTCCCTTGATCAAGTAGACATCGTGTTTGAAAAGATCCTTCTAAGACTGATGTCAAGGAGTATACTGCCTATATTTTCTTCTGGGAGTTTCATGGTTTCAGGTCTTACCTCAAGTCTTTAATCCATTTTGAGTTAATTTTGTATATGGCAAAAGATAATGGTTTACTTTCCTTCTTTACATGTGGCTGTCCAGTTTTCCCAACATCATTTATTGAAGAGAGTCCTTTCTCCTTGTATGTTCTCAGCTCCTTTGTTGAAGATTAGCTGTCCATAGATGTGTGGTTTTATTTCTGGGCTTTCAATTCTATTCCATTGATCTGTGTGTCTGTTTTTGTACCAGTACCATGCTGTTTTAGCTACTATAGCTTTGTAGTATATTTTGGAGTGAGGGATTGTGATGCCTCCAGCTTTGTTCTTTTTTCTCAGGATTGCTTTACTTATTTGGGGGTCTCTTTTTTTTTGAGGAACATTAGCCCTGAGCTAACATCTGCTGCCAATCCTCCTCTTTTTGCTGAGGAAGACTGGCCCTGAGCTAACATCCATGCCCATCTTCCTCTACTTTCTATGTGGGATGCCTACCGCAGCATGGCTTTTGCCAAGTGGTGCCATGTCCGCACCTGGGACCTGAACCGGCGAACCCTGGGCTGCAGAAGTGGAACGTGTGAACTTAACCACTGCACCGCCAGGCGTGCCCCTTATTCGACGTCTTTAGTTGCCCCATATGAATTTTAGAATTCTTTGTTCTATTTCTGTGGAGAATATCATTGTGATTCTGATTGGGATTGCATTGAATTTGTAGATTGCTTTAGGTAGTATAGTAAATATTTAGGTAAATATTTTAACTATATTTATTCTTCCAATCCATTTGCATGGAATAACTTTGCATTTCTTTATATCATCCTCGATTTCTTCCAATAATGTCTTAAAGTTTTCATTGTATAGGTCTTTTGCTTCCTTGGTTAAATTTATTCCTAGATATTTTATTCTTTTTGTTGAGACTGTAAATGGAATTGAATTCTTGAGTTCTCTTTCTGTTCATTATTAGAATATAGAAATGCAACTGATTTTTGTAAGTTGATTTTGTACCCTGCAACTTTGCTGTAGTTGTTGATTATTTCTAATAGTTTTCTGATGGGTTCTTTAGGGTTTTCTCTTTATAGCATCATGTCATCTGCAAACAGTGAGAGTTTCACTTCCTCGTTGCCTATTTGGATTCCTTTTCTTGCCTGATTGCTCTGGTCAAAACCTCCAGTACTATGTTGAATAAGAGTGGTGATAGCGGGTGTCCTTGTCTTGTTCGTATTTTCAGAGGGATGGCATTCAGTTTTTCCCCATTGAGTATGATGTTTGCTGTGCTTTTGTCATGTATTGCTTTATTATGTTGAGGTACTTTCCTTTTATACCCATTTTATTGAGAGTTTTTATCATAAATGGATGTTGGATCTTGTCAAATCCTTTCTCTGTGTCTATTGAGATGATCATGTGGTTTTTATTTCTCCTTTTGTTAATGAGGTGTATCACACTGATTGATTTGTGGATGTTGAACCATCCCTGCATCCCTGGTATAAATCCCACTTGATCATGGTGTATGATTTTTTTAATGTATTGTATTCAGTTAGCCAATATTTTGTTGAGGATTTTTGCATCTATATTCATCAGCGATATTGACCTGTAATTTTCCTTCTTTGTGTTGTCCTTGTCTAGCTTTGGGATCAGGGTGATGCTGGGCTTGTAAAATACGTTAGGAAGTGTTGTGTCTTCTTCAACTTTCTGGAATAGTTTGAGAAGGGTAGCTATTAAATCTTCGAATGTTCAGTTGAATTCTCCAGAGAAGCTATCTGGTCCTGGGCTTTTATTTTTTGGGAGGTTTTTGTTTCCATCTCTTTACTTGTGATTGGTCTATTCGGATTCTCTATTTCTTCTTGATTCAGTTTTGGGAAGTTGTATGAGTCTAAGAATTTATCCATTTCTTCTAGGTTATCCAATTTGTTGGCATACGGTTTTTCATAGTATCCTCTTATATTCTTTTGTATTTCTCTGGTATCTGTTGTACTTTCTCCTCTTTCATTTCTAATTTTATTTATTTGAGCCTTCTCTCTTTTTTTCTTAGTGAGTCTGGCTAAGGGTTTCTCAATTTTGTTTATCTTCTCAAAGAACCAGGTCTTTGTTTATTGATCCTTTCTACTGTTTTTTTATTTCAAATTAATTTACTTCTGCTCTAATTTTTATTATTTCCTTCCTTCTGCTGACTTTGGGCTTTGTTCTTTTTCTAACTCAGTTAGGTGTAGTTTGAGATTACTTATTTGGGATTTTTCTTGTTTGTTAAGGTGGGCCTGTATTGCTATGAATTTTCCTCTCAGGACTGCTTTTGCTGCATCCCATAAGAGTTGGTATGGTGTATTTTCATTTTCATTTGTGTCTAGATATTTTTTGATTTCTCCTTTAATTTCTTCAATGATCCATTGATTGTTCAGTAGCATGTTGTTCAGTCCCACATATTTGTCCCTATCCCAGCTTTTTTCTTGTAGTTCGTTTCTAGTTTTGTAGTATTATGGCTAGAAAAGATGCTTGATATGAATTCAATCTTCTTAAATTTATTGATGCTCCCCTTGTTTCCCAAAATATAGTCTATCCTTGAGAATGTTCCATGTGCACTTGAGAACAATGTGTATTCTGCTGTTTTTGGATGGAGTGTTCTATATATTTCTATTAAGTCTATCTAGTTTAGTTTTTCATTTAAATCCACTATTTCCTTGTTGACTTTCTGTCTGGAGGATCTATGCATTGATGTAAGTGGTGAAGTCAATTTCTTAAGGTAAATGGTTGAGGAGACATCTCAACTTAGCTTAGTTGTAATTGCACAGGAATGGGGTCTAAACTAATTCATACAGGAAAGTCTCTGACACTCCTTATTATGTAGGTCCATATGGGATAGAGATCACTGACTCTGGGGATGTCTAAATTTTAGCCTTTCCTGTTTATATGTTTCCTAAATTTTTGTTACTCCACCAGATTTTTTTTTTTGGAGGAAGACTAGCCCAGCCCTGAGCTAACATCCACTACCAATCCTCCTCTTTTTGCTGAGGAAGACTGGCCCTGAGCTAACATACGTGCCCATCTTTCTCTACTTTCTATGTGGGATGCCTACCACAGCATGGCTTGCCAAGTGATGCCATGTCCACACCCTGGATCCGAACTGGAGAACCTCAGGCTGCCAAACCGGAATGTGCAAACTTAACTGCTGCGCCACCAGGCTGGCCCCTCCACCAGATTTCATATCATGCAATTGGAAAGAGTTCATTTCCTTTCTTCTGTGTGCTGCTACCAGGTATATGATATGGAGATACAAGAAGGAAAAGGTAAAATAAGGGGAAAGAGAAAGAGAGTAGGATAGAGGGAGAAAGGGAGAGAAAAACTAGGTGTTGAGGAAAGGTGGTCTAAGTCATAACAAGAAGGCTGGGCCTGGGAACTCCACGCCTGAGATGTGAGCAGGGAGGTCTAGGGGGCAGATCCTCTGTGCTGGGGAGGAGGTTTGAGGGCTTCCCTAGAGTGCTCATACCCCACCCACTCTGCTAGCCAGTAGGGTGCTTTCTCCTTAACTCACATAACCGTTCATAATCAGCACTGTCCAGGGTAGCCATGAAAATCTGCAGAGAAAGATCTGGGTTCAAACTCATACTGAACCTAAAGTTCTTTATTAACTTTAAATTGCTATTTTAATTCGAACATCAGCAGAGGGAGTGTGTTGGCATTGTTTTTCTTCTCTGAGAGGACTTCTAGTCAAAGGGAAGAACAGTCTGTACAAAGGTGTGGTGACATGAATATTATTTAAGTGATGATCTTAACCTCTAATAGTGGCTCATTTATTGACCATCTTCTATGTGACTAACATTAGAATTAAGATACGTATGTAGGTGCTACACAAAGGCACATTTTGGTTTGATAAAACAGTTTGATAAAAGTGGCATATTTTTAACACTAGCTCATGTGTTCTTCATCACAACCTAAAAGCCTTAGTGGTTTAATCTCCACCCTAGATTAGAAAACAGGTTCAGAGGGGAGTTTGAATTCAGACTCTGGTCTGTCTGATTCCAAAGTCCATGCTCATTTCCATGCCCATGCCAGGGTTGCTTCAGGGTTCAAAGAAATGTCTTTCCCTGGAGGCAGCCAAGTCTGTGCCGTGCTACCTGGTAGGAAAGAAAGGGAAACTCTCACGAAAAAGTTCTACTGGTCCTTTCACTTCTGTTTTTTGATCTTGGCAAGAATCTGACAGAATCTTAGCTAAAATTTTAGAGTATAAACAACATTCTAAACTTAAGATAATTTTTATTGAACATGTATAAGATTCACCTTTACATTATTACAAATACTTTACAATAAAAAATTATTTTTTGTAAAAAAAAAAGGGAAACATTTCCTGTATTTATAGTTGTACAGTTAAAACAAAGAAATATATAAATATGAAGGTCATTCTCCAAGTATCAGCACAGAATACTAATGGAATCACTTCAGTCAATATTTTTTTCTTAAACATTTACATGATTACTACAACTGTATCAGCTTTCAGAGGATCAAGTAAATGCATCAGAGGAAGGTGATCCAAAAAATCAGATGAATTTCCAAAAAACAATCAAACTGAATATACCCTAAATGTCTTCCTCCGCATGAGATTTGGTCAATGAATATCAGGAATAGAATTTTCTTTGTTATATCCATAAGATGAAAATAAACATTTGTAAATGCAGAGTATGATGTCCATGTAAATTAAAAATTTTGCCAAGTTTGTCATACAGGGAGTAGCTAGAGACCACCCACACAACCATTTAAAATATACTGTGTATATATTATCCTATGAAAAGTCACATATATAAGGGAATAATAAGGCCTTTATTTCCAGAGCAGTCTTAAAATAGGGTTAATATAGGCATATTTCATCCTTTACATTTTTAGACTTCATATTCTTTAACATCTCAGCTATTAAAATTATGCACAGTACCTAAGCCAACATATGAGTAGTGGCATAACACAATTTCAACTACAGCACTTGATGATATTCACATGACGTACCATCTAGGAGAACTGACCAAGCATAACTTCTGAACTGCCCTAGTTAAAGACCTGTTCAAATATAATGCAACCCCATCATATGAGCCCAGTCTCTTTCAGAGCATTATTATATATACTGGAAGCCTAACACTTCAGAGTACTTCAATGAAGTATTTAATAGTACTGTCAGCTTGAGCTTGCAAAGTGGTCTAGTTAGCATGAAATCTCAAAGTCTAAAATTACTTCTGGATGTTTTCATTTATTAAAACTCATTGCTATCTGAATATGTTTTGACTGGAGGCTAGTAGGAGACTTATTTCCTTTTGCAACAAATGGACTAAGTGGTGGACCTCTGTGGCTCACAGTTTTCATGAAAAAAAAAAGCACATACAGAAGAATCTACTTTGGATATCACTACTCTGACAGTATTTTACTGGAATGGGATGGTGTACTTTAGGATTCTTGGTCAAGACTTTCTCAGATTATAAGTACTAATCCACATTAGTTGTTTGTATACAGGAGCCTTCAACACCACACAAAGAGGAGTTAACCAGCAAAGGGTAACCCGATGGCCCAGGGCCTTCTCTGCCCTTTGCACCCTTCACATCCTCTCTGGTCTCGGACAGCAGCACAAGTCACAGGAAGTGGGCTCCTGACCAGCCTCTGTATTTCCCTCAAACAAGGTATTTAAGACTCCTCCTTATCTGATCATAAATATATAGCTTTAAAATACCATTAATCTTTTTCTCTGGAACAGGATTAGAAAAAGAAAATGTTATACATCTGCAAATTCTCTGAGACTGGGTAATTTGAAATTTGAGTTAAATACTTAAAAGTCAATTTACTGAGATCTAATGTTTTAAATTTGAATTTCTAAACTCAAACTGGAACCAAAAGTGGATTTGGTATTTAATAAGCAGATTTTTTTCAATAGCTATATGGTTAAGATCTTAACAGCACATGCTCTAAAAAAAGAAAAACTAGAAAGTAAGGTGACACGTAGGCAACCTTTAACAAATATTTTGAAGGACTGTAATGAAATATGATTGTGAAGTATGCTGATGGAACACAAAATAGGGTAGAATAAATCCAGACTTTCACTGACTACACAGGATGTTGCCATCTTTTCTCTTCCTAATCCATGTTTCTATTTATTAAAATGTTTGTTATATACCGCATAAATCAAGATGTATCTGGTGGCTGCTAAAATTATAAAGGTATGATTTTTATGCTTTTCAAAATCTCTCCACATTTTGTTTTTAAATAATAATTCTATATCATTTTCAATACCGACAGCTAGTCTTGTATAAAAGTATTGGGCCAGGAGCAGCCAAGGATGAGTAAGAAGGGCAGTGCCCGGATGACAGCACCTTTGACACATCTGAAGAATGTCCTCACTGAACCTCCTTACAACCTATTTCTATTATCATTTTCAAAACTGCAAAATCATTTGCAGAAGCGCCAATAAAAAATATAGCCTACAAATAATATTTAAAATAGAAAAATATGTTTTTAAAACATGTCGTAATAAATATCTCTCTAAACAATATCTTCGTATCTCTATTAAAAACTTTGATTTTTTTCCCCCATAATACATAATGAATAGATCACTTGTTTATTCAGACAGCAAGTCTTTACCATTTAAGATAACATTTTTCTTGGGTAGAATAAAATGTTCGGGTCAATTTTATTTTCTTTAAAACAAATCTTAAATAAAGTGTAATGCATGACTCAAAAAACCTTCTCTCTCAACATTCAAATGTTCTAAACTAGAGTGTCATCTCTTTAAAAATCTCAGAATCTGTTTGTTGTAAAAGTAGTGTTGGATTAATTTGGAATACCTGATCCTTGACATATTAAAAAACAAAAGCCCTAACCTGAACTATGGAAAATTTTCCATATCTCTAAATTTGGATATTAAAATAATATTTTCTTAAAAATAATATATTTTTCCCCTTATGTTGCCAACATGAAAATACCTAGACCAAAGCAATTCTATTCTAACATATTACCTTTCTTGGACATGGTGAAAGGAAGGACTGGGTATTACTGGTTCTGTACAATCTACATTTTTCTTCAGGGACCAAGTGATTCCATGATGGCTGAGATCGTTGCACACAGAAACTGTGATGTAAGACCAGAAAAACTCCTAAGGTTCCTCTGCTGGGCTGTAAATCCTGATCCAGATCAGACACTGTTTTAAAAGCTCTATGTGATGCATGTTATACTCCGTTCTTACCTCAAAACAATGAACTTCTGACATAGTAAAGAAGGGAAAAGAGCATCTGATCAAGGGGCGCTAAAACAGAAAACCACAGGTCCACGGCAGAGACATCATGCAGCTGTCCTGTCTTCTATCCACCACCTCCATGGAATAAGTTTCAGTTTCAGATAAGTCTCAGCTTACAGGGAAAAGGCTGCTCTGTTTCTGCCCACATCACAGTTTTCCTCCTGTTGTTCTAAATTTTGACTCTGAAATCAGCAGACGTTACTCAGTTAGATAAAACGGCTCTTATGTTAGGGTGCCTTCTGGTAGCCTAACATATCGATTATTAGACTTGTCTTGAATCTCTTATATAGTCTAGTGGGAGTCCTGCAATAAGTAACAATACAGACTGCATAATGATGGCATTATACCCATTCATGTATCTCCGACTTAAACATACTTGTTATTCGATCTATGACTGATACGTTTAGAATTATTAAGCATTCTACACATTTAAATTGTAGTATAACATTTTCCAAAAGCATGAACACCCACACTTTATATCAATTATTACATCAGAAAGAGTTAATGAACTTAGTACAATACTTTAGGCAGAATAATATGGAAGGTTTCCTTCAGAGGAATTATAACTATCTTGACAGAGTTTACAGGGTTTAAATTACTTTCACTTATTATCTCTCAAACACAAAATTAAATAATGAGAGCCCAAATCTGTTGAGCATCTCTATCATAGGTTTTACACTTCAACACTGAAACTAGACTCAGATGTACAGAGCTGTTTTCCCCACCAGGATGTTTTGAAAGAAAAAGGGGGCTTTTTGATACCCTGTGCAGCGACCACAGAAGCCATGTCCCTGCAGACACATGGCACGCTGCCTTGATGCTACCACGGGATGCTCCCTTTTGGTGGCAGAGAAAGGACAGCGGTGGGCACTTTCAGAGAAGAGCTCAGTGTTGGCTTTCCTCTTTTTTTTCTTTTTTTCTTTTAAAGATTGGCACCTGAGCTAACATCTGCTGCCAATCATTTTTTTCCTTCTTCTTCTCCCCAAAGCCCCCCAGTACACAGTTGTATATTCTAGTTGCAGCTCCTTCTGGTTGTGCTATGTGGGATGCCGCCTCAGCATGGCTTGATGCGTGGTGCTAAGTCCGTGCCCAGGATCCGAACCAGCGAAACCCTGAGCTGCCAAAGCAGAATGCAGGAACTTAACCACTTGGCCAGGGGGCCAGCCCCTTGGCTTTCCTCCTGATAGAAGAACGTGCTTCATTTTTTTTAATAGGTTCATTTTCTCATAAGTACTTGAGTAAAGTGCCTTGATTACTGAATTGCCCACATCTTAAACCCACAGGGAGGCTTCAGTTCACCAGCTTGACTTCTAGCGTTTGATCACAACTTGTTCATAAGCTCCAGACCCCATCCTAAAATAGGAGAAAAAAACCTTCAGAATTTTGAGCTGTAGTGTTTGAAACAGTTCTACTTAACCTCGTCTCTAAAGAGATAGTGCATTAGGTATTTCATTTCCACAACATTTAAAGACATCACAGATAGAAAATGCTTGAAATCTTAAATGTTTATAATTAATACATTGGATTAGTCTAGTCCCTGATCCTCTCATACTTATTCCCACAATAAGCTAGGAATGTTTCCAAATTCTTACCCTAACAACATACCGGCAAACATGTTTATACATAAATCCTAACCCAGTCTCATCCCAGAGCAGCTCTTACACTGAGTTAATGGATGATAGTTTTCAGTTGCATTAGCAGTATGATGTCTTAATGCATTTTCCCAGAAAATGCGAGAATTCTTTCAATCAATATGCAAATGCCTTTATGTGGTCAGTAATGTAACTTATACCTGTGCAATGTAGATTTGAAGGGAAAACGATCTTGAGAAGGCGTGTACTGCTTCACTGGCTTGGTCTGGCAGACAGCTGGTTGTCCCCCCAAATCTACTCTCCCCTTCTTCATAGTTTTAGCTAGGTACAGGCTGCTTGGCTAGAGGCCATATTTTCTAAATTCCTTTGTAGATAGGTGTGGCCACGTGACTAAGTTTTCCCTCAGGGAATGTGAATGGAGACCAACAAGTTCTGTCTCACTTGCTTAAAGGGAATTCCTTGCCTCGGACTGGTAGCAATCCAATTTTGACAACACAGGTATGGAGGATGGTGAAGAACAAAATGGAGGGTACCTGGGTCGACTTCTGAGGCAAAGCTGTCCTATTGGCCTGGCCACTGTATTTTTGGGTCTCTTTCTTATAGCAACTTTGTCTTTGACCTAATATGCCAGGTACTAACTGACCTCTATGAATGAAATATGGGGAATACTTAAAGACTTAAAATTTCCAAGCTTTGTGAATAAAGTACCTAGAGATATTTAAATTAAGTAGTGGCCTCATCAATAGAAGGGTTTTTGTTAATGTTGACACATCTAGTACCTTGGGCTTATGTTATAATGGAATGAACAGACATGCACCCTCTACTGTTTCTTGGTCTGGGAAGATAAAGGTTTTCTACCTGTAAAAACACAGGTAAAAAGCCTGTAAAAACACAGTTTTTTGACAGCAGTTGGATTTATTTTTGCATGAAGATCATTCTACCCTTTCCTTGTTCCCTCTTGAGTGATTAGGAGGAGAGTTGAAGTGGTGTTGCATGGAGAGTGGGTGTTATTGCTTACAAAGTTATCCCCAGGTACTCTTCTTCTTATCTGTCGAGATGTTACTCTGAGTATGCCAAAGATCAGTAAGACCAGAAGCAACCATCATGACTGGTCTCTACCCTTAATGGAATTTTAAGAGGAAATTCTAAAAAATGGGAGTAAAGTAGTGGTTACTAGTCTACCATGGACTTCTCAGCTGATTGCTCAGAGACTCCTGTTCATTCTGATTCATTCTAGAGAAGAAATAGGAAAATCTGCAACAGAACGCCAGTGACACCTACTCATAGCTATAGATAATCAGAACTCGAAGGAACCTTGGTGAGCACCATTGCATGCTGGCTTTTAGATGCCCTAAAAGGGTCTGCTTCTGGCAATGGTGGAGCAATGGGAATCAGACTTTCCCTCCTGCTTTAAATAACTAAAAAACTGGATAAAACATAGGAAATGACAGTTTCACACACTGGACAACAGGCAGCACAGAACTGGTCCTGAGAGAAGGGAAATCAATGAAGAAAGCTAGACAGCTGCCCCAGCTTGCTGCCCGAGGTCGCATACTCCCAGCCTGTGGCACAGGGAGGGAGAGCCCAACACAGCTAGGTGGTCTCTCTGAGTGGAGCGGTCAGAGCTCAGGGATGCTGGGGGCTAGAATTTGTAGGTCTGGATATCAGAAGAAGTGGGGTGGGGGAGGAGGAAATAATGGCTGGAGAATTTCCAAATTTGATAAAAATTGTAAACCCACAGATCCAAGAAGCTCAAAGAACCCCAAGCAGAAAAAAACACAAAGAAAATCACTTCAAGGGACACCATAACCAAACTAGTAAAAACCAGAGATAATGAAAAAAGCTTAAAAGCAGCCAGAGATGAAAGACAAATCAGAGGCATAAAAACAGAAACAAAAGCAGACTTCTTGTCAGGAATTCAATGTCCCAAAGGCAAGCAAAGAGTCACATGCAGAGCTCTGTCAGCAACCCTGGGCTGGCCAGGTGCAGTCACTAGACTGAAGCCGGGTTACTGCGGATAGTCCTCACAGAGCCTCTATCACTGGTCGCTCTGGTCCCTTCGTTCTCATGGGTTCCCTTTCTGAACTATGTTCTTGTGCCTCTTCTGTGCCCTATGTAAATGGTTCTGGTTTCATTGTTGTTACCAGTTTATCTCACAGATTAGATCTAATGCCAACACATCAGCTTCTCTGATGAATACCCACTAGTTGTAGAGCCCTGTGTATACGAGTGTGGTGGGCAGTTCAAATAGATTAATCCCCACAGTAACTCTGCAAGACAGATCTTTAATTAGCAAATATAAAGTACTCGAGTGTTTACTGCAGGCCAGATTTTGTTCAAGCATTTACATGTCTTCCCTCATTAAATTTAAACTGTGTAACTCTGATGAGGAGGGTTCTATTATCATCACTATTTTACAGGTTAGGAAACTGAGGCAGAGAGAAGTGAAGTAACTTATCAAAGACACACAGCTAATAAGTGGTGGAGGTTGGGACTGAATCCAGGCAGCCCAACTCCAGTAATGCAGTTGTCTTTTTGGTAGCAAGTGACAGAGGCAATTTGCCAAGATCATGGCTAAGATGGGTCATTATGGCTAAGCCAGGAATAAAACCCATGTCTGACTCCATGGTCCATTCTCTTTTCACTATGACACATTGTCTCTGACATTCCCCAGCCTTTCTGTGGCATGTAATATTAATTATCTACTTGAACCCCTAATTATCACGTTAGGCTTTCGTGTATTGGGTGATTATTCTAACCTTTAGTTGGGAAGGGAGTGGGAGCCAGAATTCTTAACTACATAAATGCCTTTATATCCTAGGTTCCAGATAGAAATTATCTTTCTTTCCTCTAAATTACACCACCACAAATAGCTAGCATATATTGAGAGCTTTCTATGTACCAGGCACTGTGTTAAATACTTTACGTAAATTATCTAACTTAACCTTCACAAAAATTCTCTGAGTTAGGTAACTTTTCATCACTCCCATTTTACAGGTGAGGAAAATGAGGCTTACAGAGGTTAGCAACATCAGTGAAGTCAACGGGGAAGAGTACGACTTGACTCCGAGCAGTCTGCTGAGACAGCCCATGCTTTCGTACATTTGCTATTTTGGTCCCTCTTGGTTGGAACTGTATCTTTTGCTGTTCCTCTTCCTAAACCAGTAACAGCTAGGGCTTACTGAGTATATCATGTCATCTATCCTTTATTATTTATTTATTTATTTATTTGAGGAAGATTAGCCCTGAGCTAACTACTGCCAGTCTTCCTCTTTTTGCTGAGGAAGACTGGCCCTGAGCTCACATCTGTGCCCATCTTCCTCTACTTTATACATAGGGCGCCTACCACAGCATGGCATGCCAAGCGGTGCCATGTCCGCACCCGGGATCCAAACCAGCGAACCCTGGGCCGCCAAGAAGTGGAACGTGCGAACTTAACTGCTGCGCCACCAGGCCGGCCCCCCATCTATGCTTTAAAACAACCCCATGACGTTGGCATATGACCACCCTTTTCAATAGAGGTAAGTTCAATTTAAGTTAAATTATTTACCCCAAAAATGGTCTGGCTAGGATGTGAACCCAAGTCTCTTTAACTCAAAAACACATGTTCTCTCTACCATACATATCACTGTCCCCATAAATGTTACTTTTCTACTGGTCTCCTGCTACTAGTCTCTCCTTGCTCCAATCTAGCCTCCAAATTATGGCCCATTACTTTTCTAAAATACCAATCTGACAGTTCACTTCCCTGCCAAAGAACGACCACAAGCTCCCCAAAATACACATGATAAAAGGTAAATATTTTGTCATGGTGACAGAGGCCTTTTACAAGATGGCTTCAAGACCCCTGCCAACCTCATGTCCTACAACTCCATTTCACATGCCACTCTCCTTAGAAGAACTTGTTTATTGGCAATTCTCTAAGTAGGTTATATAATTCATAAGCCAGTAAGGTATAATGGTTAAGTACAATGAATGGGCTTTGGACTCAGAGACATGAGTTTGAACCTTAGTTATACCCCTTACTAGTTTTTTTTTGGTGAGGAAGATTGGCCCTGAGCTAACATCTGCTGCCAATCTTCCTCTTTTAGCTTGAGCAAGACTGTTCCTGAGCTAACATCTGTGCCAATATTCCTCTATTTTTCTATGTGGGACAACGTCACAGCATGGCTTGATGAGTGGTGTGTAGGTCCAGGCCTGAGATCTGAAGACACGAACCTGGGCTGCCAAAGCAGTGTGTGAGAGCTTATCCACTATGCCACCAGGCCGGCCCTACCCTTTACTAGTTTTAAGGCCTTGCATAAATTACCTTAACCTCTTTGCATCTTTGTTCCCACTTTTTAAAAATTAATAATGTTACGTTGTGAGTATTGAAAGAGATAATGTAAAATTTGAATTAAACATATATCTGGTGCTTGCTATGTAACTAAGAAATGCTCAGTAAGTGTTATCTACAATTATTATATATTTTATTATTATTTAATTATATATTATAATTATTATGCCTGTAAGTTTCTTCTATTTGTTCCTACTACTAGGAATATCCGTCTCCCTCCTACCCACCTGGGAACCCCTCACTTATCTTTTATTCTCCCAAAGACTCTCTTCAAGTGTCAACTCTTCCAGGAAGTTTTCTCTGTCTGAGTGAGGACCCATCTCTGTTCTCTCAGAGTTTCTTCTACTTCTCTTATTATAGTACTTATCAGACTGTTATAAATTTTAGTGTATTTGTCTATCTCACCTGCCAGAAGGGGTCAGATAATAAATATTTTAGGCTTGGTGGGCCACGTGGTCTCTGTTGCACTACTCAACCCTGCTATTGTAGCATAAAACAGCCATAGACAATAAACAGGTGTGGTTGTATTCCAATAAAACTTTATTTACAAAAACAAGCAGGGGGCCAACTGGGCCCACAGGCTATAGTTTGTCAACCTCAAGTACTAGACCATATGCTAGCTGAGGGTAAGAGCCGGATTTTCCCTCATTGCACCATCACCCATGAGTTGGCCCAATAAACAGTTACTGAATTTAATGAGTAGATAAGTCAACGAAAGTTATGAAAGGTCTAAATTGTGTTACATCCTCTATAAACCTCTTTTCAAACTAACTACTCCTCCATAGCATCTTTTTATGTCCCTCTCTTACCTACCTATCACGCCTGATTGTAGTTCGTTGTTGATTGTTGATGTAGGTGTTTGCTGTACCCTTTGGGCCCTGCAACGTGCTGGACACATAGGAGGTACTCAGTAAAATGAGTATTGGTAGAAAAAAGCAATTAGAAATTCTTCCAGGTTTTGAGCATTAGAGAATAAAATAACTGTCTTGGACCAAAGGGGCTCCCTCCCCCGGTAACTCTGATTTACTCTGCAGATGCGCTGGAACTCTACAGGAGTATTACGTGGGAACAGTGAGTATCAGGGTCTCACAGAAGGCCAAGAATCAGGCTGTGGAGTGACCAGAATTCCTAAGGTGTCCTCAGTATCTGTGCTAACTATCATTTGCTGCAGTGTTGGGAATGAGAATGGTAAGTTTGGCAGGTGCCTTTTCTTCATCTGAATCTGAATAACTATCCAAATGATATAGTTTTCTGAACTTTTCTTAATATGTATGTTAGACTCTAGTGGGGTGGAGAAAAGGAGAGCACAGGAATGGTTAACATCAGTGTATCTTGCTGAGTGGCTGCGTAACTGCTCATAACAGAGAAGACCACTGACTGAAAATGTAATTTTGCTTTGCTCTTTCCAAAATATCAGAGTAAGAACTCCTTTCTAAATGTCCTTTTTATATTGCACCTTGCCCAATGCTTTACTGGTCCTCTTAACACAATCTAAAAATACATCTAAGGAAATCAACAAATAAACTTACAAAATATAATTTCAAACATGCTCAGAATAAGGAAAACTGAGAGCCTCACTAAGAACTGCAATTCTTCTCATGAAACTACTAATACTTGTTTTCTAGCCTCCGTCTAACATAAACTTTGTAACCTTCATCTTCTACTTGTGAACATTTAAAAGAAAAAGTCAGTCTATTCTCTATTTTAATAAGCTACGTTTTGGACTACATACCTGTTTGGAAGATGCCGACTACCGAAGGTTGCACGCCCCCCAGGACCCACAAATAACCTCAGTCCTTCTTCTGCAACACACATTTAAAATATTTATTGTAGGTATAACTATTATTGTCAAATATTGTTCATATTGTGACAAACTCATTTTTTACATTTCAGTTTTATTAAAGAAATAAAAACTTTAAAAAAAGCTACACGTTTTAAAACAATTTACAAGATACCCTAATAGCTATTTCTCATCAACTTCCCTAAAGCTATTTTTCTTAAAACTGAGTAAAGAAGACAGCTCTTCCTATAAATTTCTACAAGTAAGGTTTAATTATTTCTCTTTACAACCACTTAGATAATGAAGCTAAGTCCATTGCTAACTGCTCTCTATTTACACCAGCGTGAATAATTATACCTTTCAAATTGGTGGCATGTAAATTTTCAGTTTCAGTAAAAATGCTAAGGAGGGAATGAAGGCTTCTGTTAGTCACTATCATTTCAAGATCACCACTCAACCCTCCAAATTACAATAGTGACTGGAAGTACTTATGTCCAGTTATGATAAAGCAGATGTAGATCCTTGTTATAAGGTATATAAACATGGTAGACATTGATGCATTATTTAAAAATACAATAAATCTTTTTTTAAAATTGATCTTTTAAAACTAAAGCTCTTTCCTTTCTAAATTTAATATCCTTTCTTAGAAACAGATAAACCACAAATTAATCTTCTGATTTTTATGGGCATGAGATTTATTTCACAAACGTGCAACAGACAGTGTCACGTCCTGCCTCTTTACTACTGAGCACATGGATTACACAAACTCGGACTACATACATCTATATGTACTTAAGGGTTATCTACTCACCTTCTGCACTGGAATCTAGGCTAAAGTCTTGACTTTGTAGTATTTTCTCCACAATATCATCTGCATCCACTCTGGTGTCATCAACTCGCTTCAGCTGAGACTCTACAGAATCTTGTTTCACTGGGCATCTTTGAAAAGAACAAAAAAATTTTTCTTCCTTTTTATTATGTTATGAAAACAAAGTGTTTTTTCTTTTTTTTCCCATTTAAACTGAAACCAAAAGGATACCTGTTGAGTATTTCTGAAGCTGTATCCTCTTTATCAGCTGTATCGACAGTTGGTTCAGCTATTTTTTGTTCAATTTCATCACACGGTTCTAGAATACTTTCAACTCCTGTTGACGTACTTCCCACGGAGGTATTTCTCCTGTGGCAGAGCTCAGAGAAGCTGGATGACCGGGAGTGGCATGTGCTGTACCCTGTCAGAGAAAATCATTTGGATATAACACTAATATCAAACACAGCGCCATCGAACATTCTTCTCCCACACCATAGCAATTTTTTCTTCATTTTTTTTTTGGAGAGGAAGATGGTCCCTGAGCTAACATCTGCACCTATCTTCCTCTATGTCGTATGTGGGATGCCTGCCACAGCACGGCTTGAAGAGGGGTGCACAGGTCTGCGCCCGGGATCCGGACTGGCAAACCCTGGGCCACTGAAGCGGAGTGTGCGAACTTAACAGCTACACTTCCGGGCTGGCCCCACCACAGCAATTTCAAGTCCCGTTAGAGCAATAAATGGCTAAGGAATTCAACTCCACTTTAGCCTCTACCTGATACTTTTGACTGCTGGCTCGCATAGCTTGATGTTCTAGAATGTCCACAGGCACCAAGTTCGTCTGGAACAGAGGCACTCTTTGCTGACAGATCTGCAATGCGTCACAACACAATGTTACTATTACTGCCAACAAGTCAAGGGTAAACAACTAAAATTGTATTCTAATCTGCGAATTTTATAATCTGCCAACTTCATTATCAAGAAAAATAAGTTACAAAGTGAAAGAGATCCCCTAAATCAGTACAATGGAAACAGCCATACTGCAGGAAATACAAAGAACTCAAATACCTTAGTTTACTGAAGAACTATAGTATTTTTTGTAAGATGTAACAGGACTCTATCTTAAACAAAACTATTTCAGTTTTTATGTTCAGTATTCCTCTAATAAAAATGAGTCAGATGTATTCTTATAAATTCTCAAAAAAGTGCCAGGTTTTTGTGTGCTTTTTCAGGAAATCTCGCTCTCAAAAACCCATCACAGCAGTAAACTAAAGAGCACTTTGTTACTTTAACATTAGTGTTGCTAGTGCTAGGCTTCAATTTGGGCAAATGTCTGTGGTTTAAAATCAACACAGCATGGAATGTAATACTCAGAATAAAAGTTCTTAAGAAATTGATCATAGTATTCAGTTTCAAAGTAAATGTACAAAAAACGGAGTGTCAGAGCCATTTCTAGTACTTTGATAATGTGCATATTCCAGGTGCCAATTACATATTTCTAGAACCAGGCTTCTTCTACAGAATGCAGAACTGTGACCATTTGCATTAGAGTGAAACATTTGGAAACTAGAACTGTTTTTCACTTACATACAGAAGGAAGCCAACTGAGTCATACAGCAATTATAGCAGCAGTTCTATAAACGATATTGAACACAGTTGGATCAACAAACGCTGCCAAACAAGCAAGCTCAGAGCGACGTGGCCCTTCTGCAAAGGTTTCTCCTTTCTGGACAGACTGCAGGATACAGATCCAAACCAGCATGCCTACTCCTCCTAAACCCTAGTGCTCCTAAACCCAAAGGACAGCTATAACAAAATCTGAACTCAAAGAATTGGTTCATATCAAGAATTATTGAGGACTAACCCTTTACTCCCAGGTTAGCTCAGATCTTAATTCACCCATTTATCTATTGGTTTTCAAAATTTATTCATTCAATAAATATTTATTAAGCTCTTACCAAGTCAGGTGCCAAATAGTATATAAGATATAGAGAGTACAAAACAAATAAGACAAAATGTATGCTCAGAGTTTAGAGGTAGAAGCTGTTCTAATACAATGTGGCAAGTACTAAAATATGAGAGGCAGAAGGAGGCTGCCAAGAGCTCCAAAGCACAAATGCATCAAGCACTGCCTGGCACTGGGGGAAGACCTCCCAGAAGAGGTCAACTCCAGGTCTTTATCAATGTACAGGAATTCCTCAGCTTGACCAGGTGGGGAAAAGCATAGGGGAGAGCACGCCTTGTTTGTAGAAAAGCAAGTAGTCTGGTCCACTTGGCATACAGGGTGGGTAGAGGTGTAGACGACTGATGGGAAAAGAGATGAGCAGATGCCTAATCCAATGACCTTAAGCAAGGGTGTGACATGACCAGATCTACATTTTGGGAAGATCCACTTGGCAACAGGATGAACAGGGAGTGAAGGTTTTCATGGTAATCCAGCTGAGAGTGAGAGATGTTTAGCAGGCACAGATGACAGGACTCAATTACTGAGCAGAAGTGTGTGTCAGGATAACTGAAAGAAAATACAGGAGGAAGAGTTAGGAAGACTTGTGCCGGATATGTGGAATTTGAGACACCCGAGGACATCCATTCCTTAGTCACTGAATTTTTACTGTGTCCCTGGCCTTAGGCTGGAGATACAAAGACAGGTAAGACCTGATCATGAAGAACTTAGAGTCTAGCTGGGGAGAAAGATAAACAGATGGATTTCAGTATAACATGTGACATGAAGCGGATCTTTCCCAAAAGCATTTGGAAATATGTACCTGGAGTTCAGGAGGGAGGTCAGGAGGCAACACAAATTTGTAAATCAAAAGTATTTAACTCATATTTACATGATCATATTTACATTTATGTGATAGTTAAATCCAAGGGTCTAGATGACATGGACCAGGGAGAGTAGGTAGAGGGAACCAAACCCTGTGAAACGTCGATATTTAAGAGGAAGGTGGAAGAAGATAAAGAATCCTCCAAGAAGCCAGAAAAGGAAAGGTCAGAGAGGTAGGAGCCCAGGGAAGAGAAAGCTTCAAGAAAGAATAAATGGCCAAGGCAAACGAGAGCAGAAAAAACGCCCCCAGGATTTGGCAATCATGTTACTGGAGACATTTCAAGAGAAGGCAGAAGGTAGAAGCCAGATTGCACATATGTTTAGGAATCAATGGGTAGTATAGTCTTTCTAGAAGTTTGGCTACAAAAAGTGTGAGAGAAAGAGGGAGGGGGAGAGGGTGTGAGAACATGGAAGAGAAGTAGCTAGAGAAGGATGTAGGGCTAATGAGTTTTTGTTTTTATTCAATATGAGAAAGAATACAGAATATGTAAATACTGAAAAGGAGGAGGCAACGGAATGGTAAAAAGTACACAAAGCATTCACTGATCCTAAATCTGGAAATTTCATTGTCCTCATTATCTATAAGAAACCTTATCTTTGCATATCTGAAAAGGTGGTAAAAATGTTATTCGTGTCACTATACTTTTCTTTTCATTCTTTCAAACAACAACCCTGCTCACATAACAGGGGAGGAGAAAGGAAGCTTCTAACTCCTTTTTCTCCAGCCAACTTGACATTTTCCTCACCCTGCTGGAGGAGGTTCTGACTGTGGCTGGAATTTGCCTGGAGAAGTGGCTGTCAAGGTGTGGCCTGGGGCTCAGCAGCATCAGCATCACCTGGGAACTTGGTAATGCAATTTTCTAGCCCCAATCCAGGTCTACCTAATCCCAAAACTCTGGCTCCCGTGTCGGCAATCTATGGTCTGACAAGCCCAGCAGGGGATTCTTATGTACACTAATGTTTGGGAACCACTGACGAGGGACCGTGATTCATGGAAGAGAAGAACACCTGAGAGATGACCGGCAGAAGCTGCTGTGCACATGGAATGGGAAAAATCCTGCAGTATCCTGTTCTATCTGTGGGGAGTGGAAGCATCTGATGTTGGTGGTAAGTCACTGATAGCTCTTAACTTGTCAGAGCATAACACTTTAGACAAAATGAAACATTGACTTAACCAAAAACTGCATAATTAAAACTCTGCTAATATTTATTGGCCCATTTTTCAAGTCATATACCCATAGAATTTTAAATCTGGGAGGGAATTTGGGAATCTTTTAGGATATCAAAGAGTACTGTCCTACACAAATTAAAAAACCAGTAAGCTACACATTCATACCTGCTATTCCAAGATGGATTTTGAGAGTCTCTCCACCTTTTCTATCTTCTTCCAGAGATTCAGATTCACCAGCAATCGGTATAGACATTGATGTAGAAGGAGGCCTGTAAATAAACATTTCTAAGGATCAGAACTTGATTTATGCGTGAATCTGACAGTTTGAAATGCTATTAGAGATTGGTTGTATAGTCAATACACAGCCTTAGTAAGGTGCCTTGTAATGTTACCTCTCTGAGGGTGAAAGTAATAGAAATCAACAAATGACATAAGAGCATCCTCAAAACTTGAATAAAATTCATGGGAGAAAAAAAGGTGTTTTCTTTTTCTGGAGAGGAAGACTGTCCCTGAGCTAACATCTGTCACCAATCTTCCTCCTTTTACTTGAGGAAGGTTGGCCCTGAGCTAACATCTGTGCCAATCTTCCTCTATTTTATATGTGGGACACCGCCACAGCATGGTGAGATGAGCGGTGTGTAGGTCCACGCCTGGGATCTGGGCCACCGAAGCTGAGCATGTGAACTTAACCACTATGCCACCAGGCCATCCCCCCAAAAACGGTTTTCTACACAACAGAAATGTGAGACCAGAAAGGGCACTGCCTTCCCAGAGTCTGGAAAAGAGAGAAGGAGTCTGTCAGTGTGTTCCCAGCACTATGGGTGGAGGGTGCCCCTCCGTATCTCAGGTTGGAGGGGAAGACCTCATGCCTCCTGCTTCAGCGCCTGAGCTCTCCTGCTGACTCCACTAACTTCTTCAATAGTATCCATGGCTTTATCTTCCACCTTCTTCTCTGTAAACAGTTCACCTGCCCCAGGGAGTCTATAAAGAGCCCTGGTTGTTCAGATTTGCTTTTTGGGCTGGATTCTCTGGGAGTAGGTGATGGATATATTTTTATTGGCTAATTCAAGGCTCCTGTCTCCATGTGGAAGCTGTGAAGCAGAGAGGGGCAAGTTTAAATTCTAACAAGATTCTTTTTTTATTTTATTTTTTCCTTTTTCTCCCCAAAGCCCCCCGGTACATAGTTGTATATTCTTCGTTGTGGGTCCTTCTAGTTGTGGCATGTGGGACGCTGCCTCAGCGTGGTTTGATGAGCAGTGCCATGTCCGCGCCCAGGATTCGAACCAATGAAACACTGGGCCGCCTGCAGCGGAGCGCATGAACTTAACCACTCGGCCACGGGGCCAGGCCCCTAACAAGATTTTTTTTTTTAAATTTTTTTTTTTTTTAAAGATTTTATTATTTCCTTTTTCTCCCCAACACCCCCCGGTACATAGTTGTATATTCTTCGTTGTGGATTCTTCTAGTTGTGGCATGTGGGACGCTGCCTCAGCGTGGTTTGATGAGCAGTGCCATGTCCGCGCCCAGGATTCGAACCAACGAAACACTGGGCCGCCTGCAGCGGAGCGCGCGAACTTAACCACTCGGCCATGGGGCCAGCCCCCCTAACAAGATTTTTTTTAAAAATAAAATATCCCTAAGCTTTTGAGGTTGATATTCTAGAGGAAAACCACATCTTCCTAGAGACTGTCTCTTGGTGTCCTGAGATAAAATAGGAAGGCAGCTGAAGGGATCATGAAGCTGACCCACTATGTGGCAATTCTTAAATTCTTACCGTATTATCTCAACAGAATCCTCAGGCTAGTCAGATCCTTGGGGACACAGACATTTAAGACTGCCATTAAACCTACTTAATTTAGAGATTATTTCTATCTCAAGACCTCCTAAATCCCAAAATTGCATATCCTACTGGGATATTTTCAAGTAATTGTCCTCTAAGTACATGTAGGTCAATATATCCCCAACTAAGCATGTTTTCCCCACCTCTGTTTTCTTCTTGTCTCCACCATCACACCCCTCAAAGTCACCCACACTAGAATCCTAGGTATTGTCTCTGCTGCCATCCTACTCACATTTCTCCATATCCAATTAATTTCCAAATCCACAGGTTCTCTCTTAATATTTCTCCTATTTATCATCTCTTATCTGCTAATTACTTTAGTTTGGCCTTTGTACCTTTTCCTGCAGGACTGCAAGAGTCTCCTAGCTAGTCTGCCTACCTGTATTCCACTCTCTGTGGTCTTTCTGAAATGTGCAAAATGAACATGTCACTCTCTAGTTTAAAACACTTCAATAGTTCCTTCGGGATAAAGCTCAAACTCTTTAGAATGGCAACACAAGGCCCTCTGCAGTCTGGCCCGGACCTATCTCTTCAATTACTAAAAGCTACATTTTAAAATAATGCAAAACAGCTTGGTGAAAAAAACTCTGCATTCAATAGTCTATAAGAAAAAGTAAAATGTAAAAGAAATACACTTACTAAGAATGGAGTCTACAGTCACAGCCATTAATCATTGATGGTGACTCATGCCTGCCTGTCTAAATTCTTATCTTCTTTTTGTTTTTTTAGGTATGCTTTTTGGTGAGGAAGATTGGCCCTGAGCTAACATCTGTTGTCAATCTTCCTCTTTATTGTTTTTCCTCCCCAAAGCCCCAGTACACAGTTGTATATCCTAGTTATAAGTCCTTCAAGTTCTTCTATGTGAGATGCCACCACAGCACAGCTTGATGAGCGGTATGTAGGTCCATGCCCAGGATCCGAACTGGTGACCCGAGGCCATCAAAGCGGAGCATGTAAATGTAGCCACTATGCCACTGGGCCAGCCCCTGAATTCTTGTTTTTCTAATGTCAGTTCCTTTCTTAGGAATGTCAGGTCACAGGTGGCTTGATTACAGCGTCTCCATCCCTCTACCTCTTAGACCTGTCTTCCAGCCCTTCAGAGCTCCCAGCCTGTGGCCTCTTCCCTTTCTCCCTCTCTATCAGTCTCCCTCTGGCTCCTCTCTTTCCTGCCCAGCCTGACTTCACAGCCACAACATTTTTAGCAGTACCTTCAACTTGGCATCCCTTGTTCTCAAAAAACCTGAAGAACCTCAACCCTCGATCATTTCAGCCATGTGTATTAACTACTCTCATAGTGGGGCAACTCAGCCTTAAGGGGAAAATTCATCAACCACGGCGATTGATATTAAGGCAAAGTTAGAATCTAAAATCTTAGCTGGGCCTTGGCAGCTCTCCTCAGTCTCCATAGACAACTCAGCCATGCTGAATAAATAATCACGGAGTGCCCATCGTGCGCCAGTTTTTATTCTATCACTCTTTTTGTTCTGAAAATATTTTAATATCCCTTATCAGAAACTGTTTAATATAGCTCAATTACAGAATGAAAGAGATGGGATTATTTTATTTTAATTTCACAGTAATCTTTAGAGTATGTGAAAAATGACCTCCTAAAATGACAATACTATCTACCTGGTATTCCATAAATATTCCATGCCCTATAACAATGCCATAAAACTTGTGCAAGCTGTTTTCTCTTCCTAGAATGTCTCTATCCACTGCCTCTGCTTAGTAATTTTCTATTTGTCCTTTAAAAATTAGCTCAGTGTCACCCCCTCAGTGAAGACTTTCCTGGCCTTCAAGGAAAAGCAGGTAGGGACTCTCTCTTCTAAGCCTCCGGAACATCACACGTTGGGTGTCCGTCTCCCATATGAACAGTGAATCCTTCGAGCGGGGGGCTGCTCTTATTTAGTCTGGTAAATGTTAGCACACGGTAGGCAATCAATGCATGTGTACTGAATAGACGAGTGATTCCTGGGACCCTGGATAAATTGGTTCCTTAACCTCTGAGCTTCACTGCCCCCACTTAAAAATACGGAAATACTCACAGGGTTGTTTCAAGAATTAAACCGGAAGAGAGTAACATCCATTAAATCATTCTGACAAATGGTAGTTTCCTTCCTTCTAGAATATGAATGCTGCACAGCCCTAGCCATTCGGGAGGATTACACCATCCCTAGATCCACTTTACCAGCAAATGACCAAATACCAGTATTTTCAGAGTCAGTTTCACTCTTTTACAAGAGTTGGTGGATGTTTGATGAGTTGTACAGAACTACAACACGGAGTTGAGGGCAGGTGGTTACAGGCTGACTGACCAGCTGTCTTATTCATAAATACCGGCCTCATGGTACAAAATTTGTATTTCCAAAAAATTATACAATGTATCCCACAGATCTTCTGCTCATAAAATATCAAAACTAGAATTTAAATCTGAGAATGCTAAGGATCTGCTGTACTCTCGTTAGTTTCTCTAGTAGGCTTTCAAAAACCTTATATCATGAAAAATTCACAGACAGACAAAAGCAGAGAGAATAGTAGAATGAACCTCTCCGGAAGTTATTTACGTCTACGTTGTATAGACAAATACTCAATCAAGTCACTCAATTGCTCTGTGCCTTGGTGTCCTCACCTGTAAGACAAGAACTTGGATTATACCAAGACTTTTTAAACAGGCTCCATGAAGCTCCCTAGGGACTTCAGTGGGTAGCAGCATACCATACCTTTTCACCCTTCAACAGAAAGATGTTATATACTGGGATTCATAATACATTTCAGCAAAGGATTTTGTGGCTAAATATTCTGGAAAAAAAAATCACTGGACTAGACAACTTCCAACATTCTTTTTAGCTCTAAAGTACTGTGATTATACATATTTAATATATATTGAAATATAATGATAAAAATAATTTACTTTTTATATCAGTAGTTCAAACATTTTTCTATTCAATTCATACTCAGTATGTGAGGGGCATGAATGTGTTAGAGTTGCCCTTTCTCCACTGACAGTTGCGAAATTTCAGATATTGAAAGAAAAGAGAAAACAAATAGGCACGTGCTGCATAATGACTTGAATTGGTCACTGATGGACCGCATGTACAACAGTGGTCCCATAAGATTAGTACCATATAGCCTTGGTGTGCAGTAGGCTATCCTGTCTAGGTTTGTGTAAGTGCACTCTATGATGTTCACACAGCGAAGAAATTGCCTAACAACACATTTCTCAGAACATATCCCTGTCGTTAAGTGACACACGTCTGTACTAGGGCTTTGAGTCTCCTGAGAAATACTTTCATGTATCCTGGGATTAGGTAAGGTCTGTTTATTCTAATGAATTATAAAGTCTTTTTCTATAAATATAAACTCTAGATGGTCAGAATTACATTTGTGGAGATAATACAGAACATAAAGATGATTTATTTTTGAGCTCTTCCATATTTGAATTTCACAAGTAGAGAGAGAAAATGGCAGAGAAAGGGCCAGAAAGGGAACAGTCGTAAAAAGTTCATGAGAAGGAATGATGAACTCACTTTCTTCTACTAAGTTTTGCTGCTCATTTTCTCATTTCATCCTAAATTGATTCCACTAGAAAAACATATTGTTACCTAAGAAACCAAAAAATAGCATAGCACAAACTGTTTAGTTCCAAGAAAACAGGAAATAAAGAAAGAAGCTAGGAAATTATGGTTTGAGAGAAGACAGCACAGGAAGGCAAAGTTATAGGAAAATCCATAGTTTTAATCATTTAATGATTTGTATTAAAATACATATTTTCATCTCTGCAAAACAGCTTGTAAGTAGAGAACTATATGGATGTGGCTATTAAAAACGCGAAGCTGATGTATAGGGAAGTAATTAATGTTTTCTTTACTTTTCTAAATATATTTGTCTCAGATATTTAAATAATATTTAATTAACTTTCATTTTTAATATTAAGTGCCTTCAAGATTGCTCAGGCAATCCTACTGCCTTTTCCCATTCAGTTCACTCCACTCTCCGAGGAGACTTTCACATCTTTTCTTCTTTCCTCAACACCCCTGCCTGCATCTTTCCCATCCTCAATCTTCAATGAACACCTTGTTTCCTATTTCACTGAGAAATTAGGAGAAATTTGAAAATAACTTGTATATACTTCCTCTTCTCATCTATCTGCATCTGGAGCCATATTCTCTACCTCCATGCCTCTTGACAATCCAAGGACACCATTCCAGCAACTGTCTCTCTTCTCTTCTGACTACATTTCTCCCTCTCTATTGGATCATTCCTATCAGTATACAATATGCTGTACTATCTCCCATCTTAAAAGAAAAACCTGTCCTTGACTTCATATTCTCTTTTTATTTATGACTCCGTTTTTCTGTTCCTTTTTCACAGCAAAATTCCTCATAAGAATTGTTTATACTAAACGTCCCCAATTTTCCTCCTTCAAAATTCTCTTTAACCCTCTCCAATAAGTCTGCAGTCTAAGAGCATTCTACCACAGTGCTTGTCAGTCACCAATGGTCTCTAGACTGCAGATTCCAAAGGTCAATTCTCAGTCTTCATCCTCCGTGATTACTTCAGTGGTGGGTGGCACAGTCGATTACTCCCTCCTTTTTGAAACATGTTTTCACTTGGTTCTCAGGCCAGTACTTTCCTTTGGCTCCTTCCTCCTATCTCACTGGTTCTCAGGCCAGTACTTTCCTTTGGCTCCTTCCTCCTGTCTCACTGGTTGTTCCTTTGCTGGTTCTTCCCTATCTCCCCAACCTCTAACACACTGGAGTGTCCCATACCTTAGTCTGTGGTTCTTTTCTTTATTTATATTCTCTCCCTCTAGGACATTTAATCAAATCTCATGGCTTCAACTAGTATCTATGTGCTGATGACATCATGATTTCCAAATTTATATCTCCAGGCTGAGCCCTCCCCACTGAACTTGTAGTGATATATCCAACTGCCTCTTGACACGTCTGGCTGGATGTTAAACAGGGATCTCAAATCTAACACGTCCAATGCCCAAGCTCCCAACCTGTTCCTCTAGTAGGCTCTCTCATTTCAACAAACGGAAATATCATTCTTCCAGTTACTCAGGCCCCAAACCCTGAAACAGCCTCCTAACTCATCTACTATTTCTGCCCTTGCCACCTTCACTGCTCCCACAAATTGTCTATTCTCTACCTAGTGGCCATAAGTCAGATGATTTTACTCCTCTGCTCTAAACCCTCCAGTAGCTTTTTATCTCACTCAGATTATAAGTGGCCCACAAGACTATTATTAAAATGGCCTACAAGACTGTTTATCATCTGATTTCATCTCCTGTTACCCTCCTCCTCATTCACTCTGGTCTAGACATACTGGTGTCCTGGGAGCGACTTGAATATGTCAAACACACTCCTCTCTCAAGGCCTTTGTCCTTGTTCCCTCTACCTCAGATGCTCTTTCCCCAAACATCTGCAGGGCCTGCTTCCCCGCTCCTTCAGGGCTCTGCTGAAATATTATCTTTACCAGGGAGGACTTCCCTGACTGCTCTCTGTAAAACAGCCACACTTCTCCCCACCATGGCCCTCCTACCCTGCTTTATTTTTCTCCAAAGCACTTATTGCCATCTTTATATTATATATGTACTGACTAGTTTGTTGTTTGTTTTCCTCTTACAATGCAAGCTCCAAGACATCATGGACTTGGCCTATTTTTTTCACTGCTGTTTTTCTAGCATCTAGAGTAGGGCCTAGCACACTGTAAGGCATTTAACAGATATTTGTTGAAGAAATGAGTAAGTCCACAGAGGTCAAATTAAAAATTTTACTTTGTATAATTTCACCCAAAACCTGAAGATGACAAAAGACCTATAGCTTAAATAATTTAGAGAGGTTGTTTGGTAATAGGTAATAATAACTTCTATGAGGGTCGGGTCAGTTTCCCAGGAAAGGAGATATTAGTATTTATAAAAGGTATTAGCCTATAAACACTACAAAATATTAAGGTAAAGATTTAAACAAATAAATCATTATTACACTTTCAGATAAACAGCTCCTCTATTGAGCATCAACTTACGTTTTAAAGCATGGGTCCCCAGACATCAGCTGCATACTGATCAAAACCTAAACACAAGAAAAATAAAGGCTGTGATTATAAAAGATGTGTTGAGAGAAGCCCTGTTCTGCTAAGCTATGCGATCTCCACAGCACCTCGTCCAGTGTTTTCTATTTGGAAAGTATTAAATAAAATGATTGTTGAATTAAATTGTTGCTTTGTATAGACATAGATTAAAAATCATTTTTAACATTCAAAACTCTGTAATTGTAAAAATCAGAGTGGAAAAGACAGAAACAGAAAGCTAGTGCTTCACAGGTAACAATCCTGTGGGTGTGGCTGAGCTGGTCTGGTTTATCTGTCTCTCCTCCCAGGTTCCCATGGTGCTTGAGCGTCTGGAATGTTTCCCTCCGAGCTGCCCTGCGGATGCTTCAAGGGGTGCCTGCTGGTGGCTTGTAAAGCAGAATGCTTCCGGCTTTTCTTCCAGCTTTAGATCAGAATTTAAAGCTTTGCTAATGCTTTCTGAAATGCTGCTGTTCTCTAGTTGCTGAGTGCCTTTTAAGAATCAGCCATAGGATCTTATTATGTTCTGGGAATAATAATAATAACAATAATACCATTAACAACAATCATGATTCAAGAATTTATGATGTGCCAGGCATAAGCTAAGTGTTTTATATGCATTATTTAATCCTCACCACTCTTGTGACAGATTGATACTTTCATTTTAAGCCCAGGTGATTAAGCGATATTTTCAAGATCAGGGTAGAGCTGAGATCTGAACCCAGGACTGCATAATACTAAAATTCACGGTCTTAATGAATAACTGGATATATATATTTATTATTGCATGTTTCCCACCTAATGGCTGACATGTATTTTTTTTTTTAAAGATTGGCACCTGACCTAACATCTGTTGCCAATCTTCTTTTTATTTTTTTCCTGCTTCTCCCCAAAGCCCCCCAGTACATAGTTGTATATTCTAGTTGTGAGGGCCTCTGGTTGTGCTACGCGGGATACTACCTCAGCATGGCCTGACAAGCGGTGCCACGTCCATGCCCATGATCCAAACCAGCGAAACCCTGGGCTGCAGTAGTGGAGTGCGTGAACTTAACCACTCGGCCACAGTCCCGGCCCCCAAGTATTCTTACATAACCTCATTTCCTTATCTCTTCAGCCCAGTGCCTCCACTACTATTCTTTTTCTCTTTAAATGTTAAACTTATCAAAAGCACGACCTACACCTGCTATGCTGGTTTCCTCATCACCTCTTCTTTCAAAGAGCTCTACAACCTGGTTTCCAATTCCATTCAAACAGCACTCTTGAATATCCCGAATGTCTCAAGAAGGAGATGGAGATGGCACCTACAGCCTTTAAGAAATTGTGTAGGGAAGTAGAATAGAGAAGAGGGACAGTGGTTGAAGGGGATGAGAAGTTTTTTTTTTTTTTTAGGAAGATTAGCCCTGAGCTAACATCTGCTGCCAATCCTCCTCTTTTTGCTGAGGAAGACTGGCCCTGAGCTAACATCTGTGCCCATCTTCCTCTACTTTATATGTGGGATGCCTGCCACAGCATGGCTTGACAAGCAGTGCATAGGTCAACACCCAGGATCCAAACCAGTGAACCCTGGGCCTTTGAAGCAGTGTGTGCGAACTCAACTGCTGTGCTACCAGGCAGCCCCAATAAGTTGGTTTTTGTTTTTTGTTAAATATAGGAGATACAGAGCTGTTTCTTTATATGTTAATGAGGATGGTTCCTTGGAAGGAGAGACGATTAATAGAAGGGATAATCTATTGGCCAAAGCTCTTGCTTAGGCAAGCTTTGGATTCTAGAACCTAAGAGGAAGGACTGACTTCTAACAGGAAGAGGGACACTTCCTTCATTGTAACAGGAGACAAAAAGAGTAATAGGGCTGGAGAGACAGGAAGAACTGTAAATTCTGTGATGGGAAGATGAGGGAATTTGAGTTTAAAGCTTCTATTTTCTCAATAAAGGATAAAGCAAGACCATTAGCTGAGAGCAAGAGCAGTGTATGGAGATATAAGGAGAGGAAAAGTATGAAACAGAATATCTGGGAAACTGGGAAAGGAAGCTCACAAAGGAAGGAGAGCACAATTACTTGATGGTGGTGAGCATGACTTCAGCAATGTCAGCTCTGCTGACTGTGGGATCTTTCTAGCAATGTTGGGCAGCTAGGATGCAGACCCAGAGAGGAGAGTTGAGTTTGATTAGGGTTGGGGATTACTCAGGCGAGAGGAATGGAGGGAGATGGGGGCAAAGGAGCAAGGAGTATTCTTAAGGGTATAATAATCATGGGCCATGGAATCCAAGCTGGATAAAGAGGGAAGTGAAAGGAAGTGGAGGCTAACAGAGAGTGAGAAGCAGTAAGGTTAAGGATAGCTAAGTGAGTAGCAGACCAAGAGCACTGGAACCATAAGCGTTAGTGGTAGGAGAGAGGAAAACTTTAAATTGAAATTGTGGAGGTGGTGAAGTTTCTTTTTATTTTATTATTGAGGTAACACTAGCTTATAACATTATGTGAATTTCACGTGTACATCATTATACTTCGATTTCTGTGTAGATTACATCATGTTCACCACCCAAAGACTAATTACCGCCATCACCATACACATGTGCCCAGTCACCCTTTTGGCCCTCCTGCCTCTCCCTTCCCCTCTAGTAAGGTGGGGAAATTTCTGGTGGTAAGAAAGTGAAGAGTGTGACCATGGGAGCAGGAATTGAGATGAAGAAAAAGAAAAGGTTGCTGGAAATGAGGAGTTTAAGGACCTGCGAGGCCTTAGGCACATATAAGACTAGCTAGACGGAGAGATTACAGAAAGAAGACAGTCCACAAGGATAGATCACCCTCACAGATGGTGAAGCCACCAAAAAAATGATAATAGAAGGGATGGAGAGAAAAACTGTGAGCCAGGAGCTAAGTCATCACTGAGTAGGAGAGAGAAGGTGAGAGAGAGAGAGAGTTAAGTGGCCGGGAGATGACAGAGATTGGGAGGGGAGAGAGTGAGAGCTGAACAGTGTGATCTATAAAGAGTATGGTTTTTGTAGACAAAGTGGGAGAAATGGTGTGAAAGGACCAGTGGGGAGCCAGAAGGACACTACTCCATGAGCTGGCCCTAAGGAATGTGGGGGTCTGAAATTAAAAAGTTATTTCAATTTCCAATGAAAATACTGTAATTCAGAGAGTAATTATCCATTTTCTTACACGAGAGATATGAAGAAACTGAATTTAGCCACTTGTTCAGGATCAGTCCAAGAATGAATAGTGTAGTCTGCATCTTGAGTCTGGTGCTTAGACAGCATGGTAACATGAAAAGACCATCGACCGGTGGCAGAAGATAAGCATTCTGGTCTCAGCTCTGCCACCGACTACTTAACCTTCTGAGTCTCAGCTTCTTCATCTACAAAATGGAGATAATCTATCCCCATCTATCCAACCCTGTCTATCTCACAGAGGTAACTGCAAGTTCTTTGAAAATTTTTTATTTATACAGAGACAACCATAAAACCACAAAATCAGCATAACGTGCAATGAAGTTTATATTATGTTATTTTTCTAACTTCCTCCTTGTCTTCTTTCACCATGTCCTCCCCACCTCAACTATACATTCCTTGTTCTTTACAGCTGCTAAACTTGTGCAAGGAATGAACTGGCTATAATAACCATGTCATACATTTTCACATTTTCAGAGTTGTAGTTGTGTTTATCATTCCCTGAATGTTCACAACAACAGAGAGAAACACCTTAGGATCGCTAAGGTAAACATCTGTTACTTTTCACTGCTTCTGCGATTTGGATAGTTCTTTTCCCTAGGCAGTGAGTACTTCAGGGGTGCGGTCAGTGTATGATGTCAGTGTTGATCTCATCTCGCCCTTGACAGTATATACCTGTGCTTATTTAAAGGCAGAGCACCTCATGTGTTGCCAGGGAAATCCTGAATCGTGCTTACTTTAAGAATGGAGTTATCCTGTCTTGTATTTTTGGTATCATAGCCTTCCAGTAAACAGCGACGCGTGGTATTTCCTGATCCAGCAAACTCTGCCAGGTTTAGATCTGCAAAGCCCAGCTATGAAAAGAAAGAGAATTATATTAATAGAATATCTACTAGGCTTCTATCATATTCTTCTTAAAATAAACATTCAAGCCATGCTCTAGACTAGTTTTCTCAAACTTCAGTCATTCCAATTTTTCCCTTCTTAACAATACCCGTTCTATTATTGGCTTAATATGTGTCTTTAAACTGGCTCATTTTTTGCAAAAACTTATTACGTATTCTACTCTTGTCTTAAACAATAGAATCTTTTATTTTTTTTAAAGATTTCATTTTTCCTTTTTCTCCCCAAAGCCCCCCAGTACATAGTTGTATTATTTTTGGTTGTGGGTGCTTCTAGTTGTGGCATGTGGGATACTGCCTCAGCGTGGACTGATGAGCGGTGTCACGTCCGCGCCCAGGATCAAACCGGAGAAACCCTGGGCCGTCGAAGCGGAGTGTGCGAACTTAACCACTCGGCCATGGGGCTGGCCCCCCTAACAATACAATCTTTGAAATCACAGATTTAATCTGCTAAAAATATATTTTTTCTGTACACATTAAAATATATAACTCTTTTTTTTTTTTTTTTTTAAAGATTTTATTTTTTCCTTTTTCTCCCCCAAGCCCCCCGGTACATAGTTGTGTATTCTTCGTTGTGGGTTCCTCTAGTTGTGGCATGTGGGACGCTGCCTCAGCGTGGTCTGACGAGCAGTGCCATGTCCGCGCCCAGGATTCGAACCGACGAAACACTGGGCCGCCTGCAGCAGAGCGCGCGAACTTAACCACTCAGCCACGGGGCCAGCCCCAAAATATATAACTCTTGAAGTAAAAATAATGCATATCAAACAACTAAAATCATTGCGAGCAGCAGTGCCACTCACATCACACTATGGGACACACTAGCAGACCAATCATGTGCATTTGGCATACACACAGAAAACTGATCAGACTTTTTTCTCCCTTTTCTGGTTCTGGCTCTATTCCCAGTTAACCACTGGTCACGGCAGATAGTTGCAGGTTATTAAATTCTCATTCTCCACAGAAGAACTAGAATGATTTAGGTGTATGACACACTTTCTTTGGTACAAGCCCCTTCTCCTTCATCTCCCTTGAGCTGAATCTCTATTTATGAACCCTACTTTCTCTCTTCCCCACACCAACCCTCTCTGCTGCTATCCAGGAGTTCAGCTCAAACCTGTTCCTCCCTCTTATTACTACCCAGGTTCGGTCCCCGATTTCTACAGCTACCAGAGATTGCCCGACAGTCTTTCCTCTGATGTTGCTCAACCCTACTTCTTGTTTCCAAGTGGTACAACAAATCAACCCCATTATATCATTATTTATTTATTTATTTTTTACAAACTAAGTCTGTTCTACATGACTAAGTGTATATAGAGTCTTTTATTAACCAAAAACATATTCTGAGTTTGCAGTTAATTAAGCATATCTCTCTGAATACATAATAAAAAGTATTAACTATTGCAAACACTGCCGTGATTCTAAGTTGCCTGCTTTAAGATTTTAAAACACACATTGGGCACATATGAATGGCATTCAAAGATGAAGATTTTAATTGCAGGCAGAAGCATTTTTTTAGTAGTTTTTAACTGGTACAAAAAGAACGAAGAATAAGAACTTAGAGATCAGTTGAAAGGCCACAAGCCCCAAAAGCAGTAAGTCAGAACACATCAAGCCATAGGGAACATCTACCTAATTTTCACAGTTACTCTGGTCTTATTGCCTTTTAGGGGTCTGACAGATCAGCACAAAAGCCTGGATGTGTCCAGGGCAAAGCCACATCCAAATGAGCATGTGAAGACTCACATGCCTATCCGATCACACATCATCCACATGCCCTATTTTGTACATTATCCTTTCTCTTTAAACCTCCAACACTTCCTTTCTATCTGTACTCTGCTGATGCCTTGCTTCCTATTTCATTCAGAGATAAAAGCAATCAAAAGAGCACTTCACTTACCTTCCACAAGCTCTTCTCGCCAGCCACAGCCACTCACCTACCTGCATCTGTGCCTTTGTACTCACCTTCCCACTTACTGTAAGTGAACTGGCTGTGCTCTGATCTGAGGTCAAGTGCCCTCCTCTTGCCTATTCAAGTTCATTGCTTCCGGAATTCCTCCCTCTCTTTTGCATTCTAAAATTTCCCTTCTCTACTGGATCAGTTCCATCAGCACAAAATATGCTGTATTTTCTCCCATCTTAAGGAACAAAAGAAAACAAAACCTCACTCCACATGTTTCTCCAGTCTTTTGGACTATTTTTCTGCTCTCCTTTATAGCAAAACTTCTTCAAAGAGTTGTCTGTGTTGACCGCCTCTGATCCTGTGCCCTTGGCCACCTCATCAACTTCATTTCCCCCCTCTCCTCCTTATTTACTCTTCTAGCCACAATGTCCATTTCCCTGAAAATGCCCAACCACCTTAAGGCCTTTAAGGCTTACTGTTCTTTTGCTTGACACAGTCCCTCTTAGATCTTTTTGTAGCTTTCTTCCTCACTCCATTCAGGCCTATGTTCAAATGCCATCTCTCTAAAGGGGCCTTCCCTGACCATCCTAGAACACGCCCTGCCTCCTCCCACCCCTCCCCTCCCCTGTAGTTGTTGCCCTTTACCCCTTATCTGCTTCATTTTTCTCCTTAGCAGTTGTCATCACATCATCTACATATACATTTCATATTTATTTTGTGTAGTCTCTGTCCCCCAATCCTCCATTAGAATGTAAGCTCCACAAAGGCAGGGGTTTCAGTCTGTTTTATTCATTGCCATCCTCAGTGCTTAGAACACGGCCAGGAACAGTGCTTTGCACATGGTAGGCAGTTAATACATATTTGAGGAATAAAAAACAGCCCACTGGCTTACCATCCACTGTTGGAATGCTGTATTACAGTGTCACTAAGACTAATGCAAGTTAAAAAACAAAGAAGCTGGTCAGCTCCCATTAAGAAAGTATATTAAAAGCTGGGTATCTCAGTGTGATGTTTACCAATGAAGGCTGTGAGGTTTCGGGCTGAAAGTCCACATTCACTGAGCACCTTTTATATGCCAGGCCCTGTTCTAGACAGTGGAAAGCAGTGATGAACAGGAAAGACAAAGACTGTCTTGAAAGAACTTACATTCTAGTGAGGTACCAGAGAGGCCATATTTCCTTATGATTTTCTCTTTGGCTTCACTGAGATAACTATCTCATTAAAATGGCATATATATGTAAATATTAGCTAGATCTGAGGTAGATACTACTTCATTTGGCAAATAATTTCAAGCATCTACATTCCAGGTAATGTCAGGCATTAGGAATGTAAATCATCCCTATTCTCAAGGAGCTCAAAGTTTAATAAGCGAAGATAGAAAAGAAATTCCTATAAAAAAGTGTAAGTGCTATGATAGAGGAAGGCACGCTTACAAGAAGAGAGGAAAAGAAAATTTCTTCATGGGGAGGGATGACTAAGCTGAGTTTTTAATGATACATGAGTCGACATGACAAGAGGAGGGAGAAGCACACGCATGGCAGGGAAAACATCAAGTTTGAAGGCAGAGAGGCTAAAATAGCATGTACACTCCAGGAGGTTTATGACGGCAGTGTGTCTGAAGCCTAAGGATGAGTGAGAATGTGTGTGAGTGCATGCACGTGTGCAGAGAGATGATTTGCAAACCATGATGGGTCTACTATGCTGGGTTAAAGACTTTTCCTTTCATTTTCCCTTACAGGCCATAGACAGCTGCTGAAGGACTAAAAGTCGGGGAAAGATACAATCATGTTTGAACCTTAGAACAATCACTCTGGTGATATAGAGGATGGACTGAAGGGAGACAACAGAGGCAGAGAACAAAGGAAAGGAGCCCAAGGCAGGTTTTAAATAAGAACTAATGAAGGCATAACCTAAGGCTGTAGCTTGGGAATGGGGAGAAGGGATGGTTTCAAAAGCTTTTTAGAAGGGAGAAATCAAGAAGATTTGTCAATCACAGCAGATCCTGTTGTTTGCCTGCCCACCATTCAATGCCCTAATATTCTTTGCTAGCAGAGCCCTGATTTTACTCAAGCATCCACTCTTAGTCATCCACGTGCACAAGAAAAGTAACCCAACCTCTAGCTCATTGTTAAATTGTGATTAGTCTAAGCTAACCATGGCAATCATTCTAATTGTCTGTGACGGATTTAGGAGTAAGCATATGATCCAGTTGTGGCCAATGAAAGGTATGCGGAAGTCCTCTGAGGGCCAAACTAGGCAAAGTTTTCTCACTCAAAAAAAGTCATACATGGAGAAACAGCTGGATTTTGTCATATGTGAATGGGTTAACTAAAACTTGAGCAGCCAGCCACCTGGTGACCATGAGGGGAGCTAGCCAAGGACAAAGTCATCATATAGAGAATGAAACAGTGGAAAGAGAAAAGTAATAGTGGTTCTTGATGATGTTCTTCAGCCAGTGGATTAACCAATCCTGGAGCAGCTCTATCTCACGTCTACTTGTTTTGTGAGACTAGAAAAAATCTCTAGGTGAGGAGGGTTTTCTGTTACTTGTAGCAAAGAGCATCCTAACAGATGTTGCAGTTAACTAGTTTTAGGGAGTTAGGTAGATCTGATGGTTGAAACTAGCGCCCTGGTCCTTGGCTCAGATGAGTGAACGGATGGAGATACCATCACAGAAACTGGAAATAAAAGAGGAGTATGTGGGCTTCTGGCAGTATTACTAATTACTAATTCCTCCCATTCAGCAAAAGGGTGAGCACGTTCATTCATAATTCCATATTGCTAAAAAACATAAAGGACAGTATGATCACGTACATACAGCGTGCTAAGAGAGCACAGAGGAGGGATCCTATTTCACTGGGGGGAGGTGGGACTGGGAATCCTTCCCAGAGGAGATTGAATTAACAGATGCTATGGCTTAATGCAAACCAGAGATCATCTTCTAGTAGGGAAGCTGAAATTTAATAGCATCCCATAATCAGCATATAGAAAGAAAAGGCCTGTAATTTATCGCTGGATCCAACTGTTCAATCTCCAACTTGCTTTGTTTAAAAACAGCCAACTTGAACAGCAATTAAAAGAGCAAACCATTTAATTTTTAAGCTTATAAACAGCAATGAGTGATATTACAAATTTCAAAAAAGTTAAAAAACATGTACCTACCTTTGCATAAGCTTTTCCACCTTTTAATTCCTGTCAAAGACAGAAAACATGATAAGATTAGCATACAATTAAAGATTTAAAATTAAATATATGTCAAATAATTCTGAAGTACACATTTACATGCTGGCAAATACAGACAGTAAAATTCTGAAGATCTGAAATCCAACTATTTGGATGCCCACCCCTCCACCTGAATGACCAGAATTTTTATTCAGAATTTAACTTAAATCTGAAAGGGACAAATGGTGAGAAGACAAGCTAATATTTTATCTATTTGCTGAATAAGAAATTGCCAATAAGTGTTCTAGACACATTGCAAGAACCTGAATCACCAAAGAAAGGTTAAATTACTTAGCTAAGCATATTAACACATTGCAGAAAGATTTTAACAATAGTTGAAACCCCACAGAGACAACCACTGTGATCAATTTTTAGGAATTGTTCAAAGGATGCTCTATGCATTTACATATACATGTGTGTATATACATACATACACACACACACACTATATATATATATATGTGCCCTGGACTCCAGTTTCTGTCCCTTTAGTCTTATAAAATTGCTGGAATCTCAGCTCAGCTTCTTAGCCTTAGTCATTGTTTTCAGCTCAGCTTCTTAAATTACTGCTTGCAAATTAGCACCTGCTTTGAGGGTAAAAGCAATGCTAAATGTCAGGCTGATCTCTTTACACTTCCCTTGTCTATAATTCTATGCCTCTCAAGTCCTTACTAACTTGGCAGCCTGTGATGCCTTCAAACATCTATTTTTCTTTTTTGAGGAAGATTAGCCCTGAGCTAACATCTGACATCAATCCTCCTCTTTTTGCTGAGTAAGACTGGCCCTGAGCTAACATCCATGCCCATCTTCCTCTACTTTATATGTGGGATGCCTACCACAGCATGGCTTGATAAGTGGTGCCATGTCCGCACCCAGGATCTGAACTAGTGAACCCCAAGCTGCCGAAGCAGAGCGTGCAAATTTACCTGTTACGCCACTAGGCCAGCCCCTCAAACAGCTATTTTTAATATTTTCTAGCTTTTCTGGTTATTCTCAGATGGAGGGGTAGCCTGTAACAAGCTAGTCCCTTAATTTCAGAAGCATAAGTCCCCAGGTTTATTATAATCTTAGGGCCTGTTATGGATTGAATTGTTTCCTCCCTCCAAAAAAGATATGTTGAAATCCTAACCCTCGGTACCTCAAAATGTGATCCTGTTTGGAAATAGAGTCTTTACATATGCAATCTAGTTAGAATGAGGTCCTAATCCCATATGATCGGTGTTCTTATAAAAAAGGGGAAATTTGAACACAGACACAGATATAGAGGGAAAGTGACGTGAAGACACAAATGGAGAAGAGTCGTGTAACTGGAGCGGTGCGTGTACAAGCCAAGGAACGCTTGAGGCATGCAACAGCTTCTTCCCTAGTGCCTTCAGAAGAAGCACGGGCTGTGTGCGACACCTTGGTTTTGACTTCTGGTCTTCAGAACTGGAAGACAATAAATTCCTGTTGTTTTAAGCCACACAGTTTGTTACAGTAGCTAGGAAACTAACACAAGGCCTTTTTACTTTCAGGTCTGTGATGGCTGATTTTATGTGTCCACTTGACTAGGTCATGGGGTGCCCAGATGTCAGGTTAAACATTATTTCTGGGTGTGTCTGTGAGGGTCTTTCTGGATGAGATTAACATTTTAACCTGCTGACTGAGTAAAGCAGACTGCCCTCCCCAGTGTGAGTGGGCATCATCCAGTTTGTTGAGGGCGTGGATAGAAGAAACAGATTGAATTCTCTCTCTCTGGCTGGCTGAGCTGGGACATCGGTCTTCTCCTGTCCTCGGACTAGGATTTACACCATCAGCACTCCTGGTTCTCAGGCCTCAGGACTCGGATGTACACCACTGCCTCTCCAGTTCTCAGGCCTCTGGACTCAGGCTGGAACTACACCACCAGCTTTCCAGGGTCTCCAGCTTGCAGACGGCAGGTTGTGGGACTTCTCAGCCTCCATAATTGTGTAAGTCAATTCCTTATAATAAATCTCTTTTGTATCTATAGCTATCGCTATAGCTATAGCTATCTCCACTTTATTGGTTCTATTTCTCTGGGGAACCCTGACTAAGACAAGGTCCCACTCCTTCAGAATGGTCTTTCTCTGCATCTTTATATGGGTGCCTCTTCTTCAAATGTTACCCTTCAGAGAAGTCTCCACTGACCCCTCCCCAATTTTCTAAAATGATCTCCTCTCCCTAAGTTGTTCTCTATTACCTCATTGTATTTTATACATAACACTTATCATATCTAAAATAATCTTATTTGGTTACCTGCTTACTGTCTGTCTTTCCTACCACCCTTCCCCCACTCCAACCAGAGGGTCGAGTCCTTGAGGACAGGAATTCATTCCAGTTCATCACTGTCCTTTCAGTGTCTACAATAGTATCCAGCACATTGTAGGAACTCACATATTTGTTGACTGATGATTGACTGCTTCCCTGCATCCTACGCAACAGAGTACATTATCAAACTTTTTGATCTTCATCAAATTTACAGGTAAAAAATGATATCTTACTTGTAGTTTTAATGCATGTGAATGAGACTGAGTAACTTCTTGCATGTTTAAAAGCTATTTATATTCTCCTCTTTGTGAAATGTATATTCTGTCCCTTGCCTATTTTTCTAAGGGGTTGTTGATCTTTCTCTACTGATTTATTTGAAGATGCTCTTTCCATACTAAGGAAATTAGTCCTTTGACATGATTTGCAGATATTTTCCCCTAATTTATGACTTTGCTTAAGGTATTTTTCTGCAATGCAGAAAATGTTCATAAAGTTGAGTTTACTCATTTTTCTTTAGGGGTTCTTACTTTTATTCTCATGAGGTTTTTTATCCTTTCTCACTGGTTGAGAGAGAAGAAGACTGGAGTGCTCCCCTGGATCTAAAGATGGCCCCACATGGGGAAGATGGCAGAGCTGCACTACCAGCCCTGGATTCCTTGGCTCTTAACCAAGAGGGACATAAACCTCTATCTTGTTTAAGTCATTGTGTATTTGGGTATTTGCTTCAGAAGCTTATCATACATACCCTAACTAATATATCAAACCATCATAATCTGAGGAACTGGTTTATTTCAGATGAACAAGTCCTATCTTAGCAAAAAAAATATTACTTCTTTTAAAAATAGACTCTGAGTTTCTTTAATTAACAGTTATGCTTTACTCTAAACTGGTTATATGTTTTCTTTTTCTTAAAATTCAAAAACTGAATGATCGTCTCTCAATAATCATGATTAGAACTCCATTTAGAAAAGTTTTAATGAAAGAACAGCAGCAGCAATTAAGAGAGAAAGGGAAAAAACGTAGGATGTTTTACTTAGATCTCAGTTAATCTTTACAATTTCATGAGGAAGCAATTATTATACCCTTATTTGGATGAGGAAACCGATTTTTAAAAAGTCAGGAGAAGGGGCTGGCCCTGTGGCCAAGCAGTTAAGTTTGTGCGGTCTACTTTGGTTGCCCGGGGTTTCACTGGTTCAGATCCTGAGTGCGGACATGGCACCGCTCATCAAGCCATGCTGAAGTGGAGTCCCACACAGCACAACCAGAAGGACCTACAACTAGAATATACAACCACGTACTGGGGGACTTGGGGGAGAAGAAGAAGAAGGGGAAAAAAAAAAAACGGAGAATTGCCTAAGGTCTTACAGTTAGTAAATGGCGTATCTGGGATTCAAACCCAGGTCAGAATGATGCCATATGCACTTGCACTGCACTATGCGTCCTTTAGGAAAGCCTCAACTCAGTTACTGCTGCTCCAAACACGACAATTTTACAAGTCTATTTTCATTAAAGTCTTAAAACCTATAAAATGTATACCTGTAGTTATGTTACATTTTAACTAAGTAGATTGAGCAATATAAAAGAATTTAAAATATATCCCACACATCATAGTGCTATCAGCTTACTCAAAAAGCAGAATCAAAAAGAGAGCTAAAAACACAACTTTTTATCTAATACAGAAGGATGTTAAGGCTGGACTGGAAAAGAACAAGGCAAGGGACTCCTACTTTTCATTTTAAGTCCATCTCTATTTAATTTTTGAACATGTATACGTATTACTTTGGTAATTTAAAAAAATGCACATAAAATGCAAAACAAAGTTTACATTTTAAAGCCAGTAGTTTAATTCACTAGTAGTGGTGATTAATGGATTCTTCTTTTTTACCCAAAAAAGGTAGGATCACATATTTCTATGCGTATTAAGTTGAACCACCTGAGATGGCCATTTTTGTAGATTGGTAATATGCCTCAACCTAACACGTGGAAAGGAAATATATGAAAAAGAAAACATGGACTTGGAATTAGAAAGATTTGTGTTTGAGTCCCTACTTTGCCATTTATTAGCTATATGAATTTGGGCAAGTAGCAAGCTCTCTGAGCCTTGGTTTTCCCGAAAATGGAAAAAATACACTATTTTCAGGGTCGTTATTAGACATAATTTATGTGAAATCCCTAAAACAACGCCTAACAAAAAAGAATTTAATGAATGGCAGGATATAGACATATACAGCCCCTCAAATAATGCAAATAAGGTTAATACTTATATTAAGTTAATACTGATATGCATATACTTATATGTATGTATAATGATAGTGAGATAAGGTTCTTGAGTAATATTTGAATTTATAACTTCAGATTCTTCATCACATGTGTCTCATAGTAATTTAAATTATTGCTGTAAGTGTGAAGCAAAATTACATACACCAGTTCTAATGATAAAGGAGAGCTAAATAAAGTGAGTCAGTGACTATGGAAATTAATTATGGTCTCTGAAAGGGGAGAGTAATAGGCTATTTTTATACCTTCCTCACAGATACTCTGTAGATGCAAGGATCGAGGATGCCCGTGGTGGCACTGGCACTCATTTTGCACATAAACGAGAACTTCTTCCTCCAGTGAACACAGTTTGCTTGCACCACCTCCCTGAAGGAAAAAAAAAAAGAACCAGTTAATTAACTATTATTGATGGCATGTTAAAAAAGCACACACACCCTTTCACTCAAGTCTATAATGCAAAAGTGATACATTAAAAGCCAGGATTTGGAAACAGTGAAACACCAAGAAGAAGAAAACAAATTCCTGACAAGGTGATCTGAAAATCTTTCGAAAGTTTTAATTATCCCCAGAAACCGAAAAAAAAGTGAATTTACTTATCAGTTTAATCAATATAAATTGAAGGTTCACTATTTATTCATTCAACACACAATACATGTTTATTTTAGGTGTGCTGCGTATATGTTAAGTGTTTAAAATATAGAGATGAGAATGACAGTGTTCCTGACCTTGTAGGGCTCATAGTTAGTATAAGAGACAGAAATATAAACACTTATTCTAAAATGAACTGCTGTCACAGATTTACTCCTATTCCAGTCATAACAACAACAGCAGCTACCATTTATTGACAGCTTAGGACAGACTATTTAATCTCACAACAACCCTAGGAGGTAGCTGGCATCTACTTTATAGCCAAGGAAAATGAAGCACAAGGAGAAAAGTTAACTCAAGGTTATTTAGATAGAAAGCAGCAGCACTAACATTCAAATCAGGCCCATTTAACTCAAAAGCCTACTTGTCCACAAAGGAAAATTTATATTTTCCCAACAATTCTGCTCTTTCAAGTTTCCAGTCCTTTGACCATGCTGTTCCCTCTACTGTTATGTCTAAGGATAGGGAGTTTAGCCTTAGAAAGGAAGGATAATTATTCCTCTAACACAGGAATTAAAGAAAGACAATGGGTGAAAATAAAGAGACAGTTGGAGAGAGCAAAAGGGAAAGGCAAGAGAGCCCACGTTCAACAGTTTTCGATTTTCTGAGGAAAGGAATTGGTGAGGTTACTTCTACAGAATGACAGGGGCTGAGGGGTGAGTTGGAAATTTCAATAAAGGCTGAGGACAGTTAGCAATAACCAACATGGTGAATGTGGTAGGGAGTCAACTTGCAGCTGCTTCAGTGAATAAATGAATCTGTACTGGGACCAATCAGTTTGGTTTTATGGATTTCTCCATCAATACACAGAAATCCAAGAACAGGAATTGTAAAGCAAATATAATTTAAAAAACAAGTATGTGTTTGTGTGTGGTAAGTACATGGATGTTTACTTACATATAAACAGATACACAAATGGGAGAGAAGCACATATATTTCATTTTTTTCATTAGGAACCTTTAGGTGATTTAATGAATGATGAAGTGAAAAGAATGACTATGTGTTCTTAGGGGAGTTTCCCTTGAAATCCAGCAGGGGTGCAATTTATACGGTCACAACACAGGCAGAATGAGAGTTATTTGGCAAAGGATGGATCTGAGGTACTGATCAGGCAACATGAGGTATCCCCAGTAAGATTACCATTAGTTAACCTGTAAACTCAAAAATAAATGAATTTTTTCAAAGAAAATCAGTGAATAATGAAAATAACAAAGAGGAGAAAAATAAAACCAGAATTTATTGTTGCTTCCCTCAACATCTCGTGGTCTCAAGACTTGATGGAGGCATTAGCCATGCCCTCCAGAGCTCCCAAAAGAGGTATGCAGGTATACTGATGTGCTGGACCCTTCGGGAGTAAGCTGTTCTTCAGGGTACTGGGTTGTTCCTGTCACTGAGACCACTGATGTATGATCAGGAATCAGAGACAACATTAAAAAAATTACATAAAAACTCCTAGTTAGAGATGGCAGGTTGAAAGCATGTATTAGCCTCTGCTCCTTCCCCAAAACCTTCTATTTAATTTTTAAGGCATCACCTCACAAGGACAAAGAGAACCAGAGAGAACACAAAAATAAGTGGCCAGGGAGCAACAAGTGGTAACTGATGTAGCAAATCAAAGAAAGCTGAACTGTAAGCTGGTAATGGTAAAAGCTAGGAGCGGGAATCTTAAATTGGTGTTGAAGCAGCATGAAGGAAGGACAAAAGGCAGAAGGACTGACTGAAAACTGTTTTAGAAACAGACTCTCAACAGATTCTCTCCCTGATTCCTGCAGAAGACTGAGATTTATTCTCATGACAAGGTAAAATAGAGGGATCTCTGCACTACCTGACTTGAGGGCAGGCATCGGAAACGGCACGATAGCATGGCTACATGGGGTCGGGGAGGGGGATGAAAGATGACTTACTGAATGCTCAGAATTGCAACCTTCTTCCCCTAACCTGTCCCTTAAATGCTAGAGCCAGGCATATACTCTTCCAGAAGATGTGGGAGGAAAATTCTCTGGGGAATCCAGTCAGCCTCAAAGAAAAGATCTAATGAGACGGATGTGAAGGTTCCCAACAAAATGGCTCAGCCAGCTCAATCCACAGTAAAAACCTGAGTGAATGAACACTTTCCACATGCACAAAGCTTCTAAGGAACCTTTAGAGCCTCACAGTTACATATGAGCAGAAACTTGAGGAAAGTCTCTTAATATGAAAGACAGAGACCAAAACAAACAGCAAAAGGCAACTTGAACAAAACAGAGTCTATGCTGGAAGAAGAAAAAAGCTTCTCAGAGAGACAGAAATTGCATCTACCCCATAGGAATGGGATGCTATAAAAAAAGAACATACAGGAAACTAAAACGTACTCATAAATATCAAAATTACTGGGCTTAATTGTCTATTTGTTATTCCTGATCCACTCTACCCTTCTCTGCGGCCCCACAGGCTGGCCTTTATGGACTATATCAACCAGGCTCCCTTGCCTCTGCCTCTGAATGTGCTAAAGGGACAAACACCAGAAGGATGGAGGGCAGGAGGGGAGGGAAGTCAGTGTATTTATTCTCCTGGATCCTTTCCTGTCAGGCCATGTGGGAAACAGGTGGGTGGCTGGGGACTGCAGGTTTTCACAATACGCCTTGTAGAACTTAGACTCTAAACTGTGTGCATTTATGACTTTGTTAAAATAAAAACCAAATTAACAAATTCAAAACACTGTCAAATACTGAAGAATCCGAAAATGGGAACAAAAGTATATAACGTTGCAAGCCATTCTTTTCTAATTGCTGTAAAAAAATCTAAGAAATTTCTTTACTGGCAAATATATGAAAATTGAATGGTATCTTAAAATGTTATCCAGTCAATTATTCTAGGAATTAGGTCATAAGTACAAAAAATCTATTAATATTCATTGCAAAACCCTAAAACCTTGCTTAATGTTCTGTTACTTTACATTTGTTTGTGAAATAACAACAACTCCTCAGTAATACTAATTACGGAAACACATTTTTAGATTTTCACCTAGTCTAAAATGTTCTTACAATGTAGCAGGCTTTATATACCAAATAGTATATGCTACCATTTGCATAAATGGAGGGCAGCTTTGGCCTGAGTAACAAAAATAAGAGAAATCAAGTGAACTCTGTATATGAGTGCTTCTCTTAAAAAACAAGCAAGCAGGAACAGAGTATTTACAGAAATATTAATCTAGTTTGGCTAGAGAGTGGAGGAAGGCAACATTAAGTCACGTGGGCTTGGGAAGAAATAAGAGATTAAAAAACTTCAGCATAGCATCATAAATGTGGGCAGATAACTGAAATTATAATGTAGAACAGAGATGAAGAATAGGTTTTCATAAAAGACATGACACTAAGTCTTAAGGGAAAAAAAATACACCTCCATAACCCCAGGTTCCCATCTACTTACTACCTCTCTCTTTCTCTTCAGAGCCAAACTCCTTGAAGATGATGATACTAATGTTCACGATGGTTAGAGTGTCAAGAGCTATCTTGGACCACAAGGCTACCTTGAGGAAAAGCTATGTGATGGTGAAGCACAGAGACAGAAGGAAGATGGGTCCCAACAACCATGTAGCCCTGGAATAGACGTCTCCTCCCAGACTTCTTCTCCTTTTTTTTTTTAATTGAGTTATTGATAGGTTACAATCTTGTGAAATTTCAGTTGTACATTAATGTTTGTCAGTCATGTTGTAGGTGCACTACTTCACCCTTTGTGCCCACCCCCCACCCCACCTTTCCCCTGGTATCCACTAAACTGTTCTTAGTCCATAATTTTAAATTCCTCATATGAGTGGAGTCATACACAGATTATCTTTCTCTTGCTGGCTTATTTCACTTAACATAATTCTCTCAAGGTCCATCCATGTTATTGCAAATGGAATGATTTTGTTCTGTTTTGCAGCTGAGTAGTATTCCATTGTATATATGTACCACATCTTCTTTATCCATTCGTCTGTTGCTGGGCACTTAGGTTGCTTCCACGTCTTGGCTATTGTGAACAGTCCTGCAATAAACATTGGGGTGCACAGGACTTTTGGGATTGCTGACTTCAAGCTCTTTGGATAAATACCCAGTAGTGGGATGGCTGGATCGTATGGTAGTTCTATTTTTAGTTTTTTGAGGAATCTCCATACTGTTTTCCATAGTGGCTGCACCAGTTTGCATTCCCACCAGCAGTGTATGAGGGTTCCTTTTTCTCCGCAACCTCTCCAACATTTGCTGCTATTAGTTTTAGATATTTTTGTCATTCTAACGGGTGTAAGGTGATATCTTAGTGTAGTTTTGATTTGCATTTCCCTGATGATCAGCGATGATGAGCATCTTTTCATGTGCCTCTTGGCCATCAGTATATCTTCTTTGGAGAAATGTCTGTTCATGTCTCCAGCCCATTTTTTGATTGGGTTGTTTGATGTTTTGTGGTTGAGTTGTGAGAGTTCTTTATATATTATGGATATTAAGCCTTTGTCAGACATATGACTTACAAATATTTTTTCCCAGTTAGTGGGTTGTTTTTTTGTTTCAATCCTGTTTTCATTTGCCTTGAAGAAGCTCTTTAATCTGATGAAGTCCCATTTGTTTATTCTTTCTATTGTTTCCCTTCTCTGAGAAGGCATGGTGTCCGAAAAGATCCTTTTAATACTGATGTCAAAGAGTGTACTGCCTACGTTTTCTTCCAGAAGCCTTATGGTTTCAGGTCTCACCTTTAGGTCTTTAATC